AGAAATTGTTGTTTGGCTTATTTACCTGATTACATTCTCCACTTCAATTGACATTCCAACACATGTCAATTTCTATCTTGGCTTAATGACAAAATGCAAAAAAACAAAACCTAAGAATCAAAACGGCCAACATGCCAAAATGTCTCATACTTCTATCGAGCAAACATTTTTTTCGCAATTTCTTTTCATTTTTGATTTCAATCATTTCAATGTTCGGTTCGTCCATTCATTGTAATGCCATCGAACCAGCCAACACAAAAAAACACACCGCTAAGAGCACGTTCAAGTTCTGTTCGATTAAATGTGTCCGTTCCTTTATAAGTGTGAGACTTCAATTTCGCGACAAACAAACTGAGTGGACAAACAAATGGTAGAAGGTAAAGCTGGATAAATATATGGTATTGTGGTGGTGGCGGTGTCATGCCATGATTTCAACTGCTTTCTAAACAAGTCAGAGTCTATGCGGCCAGTTGTCTTATAAGCGGAAAAAAATACAACAAAAACATATGTCTAAATTACTTCCTGGCCTGGTCGAATACAGTCAGCTAAACCGGCTTTGCATGGCAGAAGAACAGAAGAAATTTTGAAGTAGCTTCACTGGGTCAGTGGAATGGAAATAACGTCGCCCATTGACATATCGATAAGCTTTGTTTAGAAGTTTGAGTAAATGGTATGTAAATGGAAGACAAACAAACACAACAAACATTTTATTTTTTGTTTGTCAAGGTTAAACATGTTTGTGCTGCCACTTTTAAGAGTTGCCTGTGGCTTGCTCTAGGAATAGGAAAATTGCACTGTACAACACAAAAATAATTACTGTGGAGCTAAAAATTGAAGAAACATGTATCGGCGTTTTAAAAGTTTACATCGCAAAGTAACCTAAATAAAAGGGGCAATTTCCCCTTCTTCCACATTTTTGGAAATTTTTGGATAAAGATCTCTTGGAATCTTAACATTTTCGGTGTATAATCTTCGGTAATATTACTGATACCACATTCTAATGATTATTTTTTCTTTAGATGCTTTGTAGGAGTATTTTGCATAGACTAACATCAACTCAGCTTTAACCCTAACCGGTGTTCTTAATATTTATGAAATTCTGGCGTTCAGGTTACATTACGACTTTTGATGTCTTCTGGAACCTATGGTAAAATTTTATGACAAATAATTCTGCCATGCCGTGTAAAGGGAATTTTAATCATATTTTGAAAAAGGACCCAAAGAACCCTTCTCTTAATGTAAAGATTCTATAGTATCTTAGTCCTAAAATTTCCAAAAATATAGAAGAGGTGGGAACTTGGTTTCTTCGGAGGTAGGTAACCTTACGATAAAAGGTATTTCTTTCTTGTACCGTTTGAAAATTTAATAATTTTTAATTTTTTTTATTGAATGAAAGCAAAACATGTCGGATATAGCATCAAATTTTAGGATAAGTTTAGATTTTTTCGAATTGGTCACCTTTGGCACGAATTATGGCCTTCAAACGACCAATGAAACTGTCACACGCTGTCCGAATGTTGCTTCGCGGTATTTTAGCCAATTCCCGGCGAAGCACTTGCTCGAGGTGATCGACACTTTGGTATTTTTTAGTGTCAACCTTGCTTTCGAAAATACTCCAGACACAATAGTCCAACGGATTGGTATCCGGAGATTTTGGTAACCATTCTTGGGTGGCGCGTGCTGAGTGCGATGGTGCTGAGTCCTGTTGGAATGTCCAAGGTCTGCGGCCAAAATGTTTGCGTGCCCAAGGCCTTAATACACCCTCCAGAATATTTGCGCGATCATATTCGGCATTTATTCTGATGCCTATTTCTGAACCGATTTTCACCAAATTTTGATGTAGTTGCTTCTAGACTGAATTCGGTGGGATGTACCAAAATTCAAGTCATTTGGACTTATATTGGCCATTTGGTGCACAATTAACACTAAATCGGTTAAAGATATATGTGACCTATATATAAATCTGATCCGATTGTCACCAATTTCAATAGGGTTCGTCCTGGGACACAAATGATATTTGGAAAATTGCATCTCAATCGGATAATACATGCGACCTGCATTTTGGACAGACCTGCAGGAAGGACACACACATAACTGACATGCATTAATCGACTCAGATTCAGCTATTAAGTATGTATTTCGGAACAGATCCCATGCAACATAACAACGCAAGTCAATGATCTCAAACAATTTGGTATGATGTGTGGGAAATTCTTATTATTGTAATTAAAATCAGGGGTATCTTTATATAAGGGCTATACTAAGACGTAGATCTATATGTAGTGAAGTTCAATTCTAGTTATTATTAACTCCAAATATCGAAAATTCAGAACATAAATGGAAAATATGACAAGAATGAAAAAGAATGCTCGAAAACGGAGTTTAAATATATGTTGCTGCATATATATATAAAAATATTGGGTTATAAGCAATTTATATATAAATAGCATTCATTCATTATTACGAATTCATTTTAACAAAAGTTCGGAGAAAACGTCAAAACATTCCACTTCTAATACAAAAAAAATCTCGTTATAAGTTTTTTTTATAATATTTTTAATGTGTTTTAATGTTTTTCATTTCAGGTAAATACAGGAACTCATTAGATCGGTAAGATCATTAAGTGTAGTTCTTACAAAAATTGTATACAATTCTGTCCATCTTCAGATCATAATTTAATGTTTTTTTTTTTCTACGGAGAACAAATAAAATATTGACACAATAAATATGTTATTGACCGATCTTATTGAATTGAAGAATTAATATTTCAAGTTTTATCTGACAGATACATTCGCTCGAATACGGATACTCAAATATTTTTTTACAGATTCAAACAAAGCGAAATGCTGCAGTTTTGATTTACCGAATTCAAATTTGTTGTAAGCATTTTTTTCAATAACTTTTGATGTTGTTGCAAAAAACATTGGTTTTATAACATTGGTTTTATTTTTATTTTAAGACGATTTAGCCTTGTCCGTCCGTCTGTTGTAATCAGGCTAGAGACAAAACGAATTAAGATAGGAAGCTAAAATTTTGCACAGGTCAGTCTTTTGTGTGCAGGCAGGCCAAGTTCCAAATTGAGCTATATCGGCCCACTATATCGTATAGCCCCCATATAATAATGCCCCCCAATATTCGGTATTTTGATGATTTTACCCACATTTTTTCATGGAGTTGTCTGAAATTCTACACAGGGAGTCCTTTTTGGGTAATTTACCGCCTGTCAGAGAATTGTCTTCATAGGTCCATGATATCATATATGTTCCCTATAACTGTACCTCTTGATATTCGGTATTTTGTTGATTTTAGCTACATTTTTCAATGGAAATATCTCAAAATCCACACAAGGGGTTCATTCTGAGAACTCTACCTTCTAGAAGAGAATTGTCTGTATAGGTTCACGATATCATATATCCCCCATATAACGGTATATTCGGTATTTTAATGATTATAGCCAAAATTTTTAATAGAATTGTTTGAAAATTCACACCATTAGTTCCTTCTGAATACTTCATCCCCTGGAAGAGCATTGTCTATATAGATCCACAATAACGGTACCACCTGATATTCGGTATTTTGAGGATTTTAGCCACATTTTTCAATGGAAATGTCTCAAAATCCACACAAGGAGTTCCTTCTGAGTAATCTACACCCTCTAAGACAATTGTCTATATAGGTCCACGATATCGTATATCCCCCATATAACGGTACTTCTCGATATTCAGTATTTTGATGATTGTAGCTAAATTTTTCAGTGAAATTGTCTGAAAATCCACGCCAGGAGTTCCTTCGAAGTACTTCATCCCCTGGAAGAGCTTTGTCTATATGGTCCACGATATCGTATATCCCCCATATTCGGTATTTTAATGTTTTGATATACATTTTATCCCCTCCCGATATTCGGTATTTTAATGTTTTGATATACATTTTTCAATGGAATTCTCTAAAAATCCACACTAGGAGTTCTTTCTGAGTACTTTACTTCCTGAAAGAGAATTGTCTACATAGGTCCACGATATCGTATAGCCGCCCATATAACCACCGATTTTAGGTATTTTGATGAATTAACGACTTCTTTGACCGACATGCCTACGCAAGCAAACCGAATATTTGGTTCAATGACATTCCGAATCTTCCGTCGAAATACATTTTCAGAAGAAGTACGCAAATGTAGTAGATGCACATTAAAGAAGTGAAGTAGAAAAGAAAAGCGGACAAAGTCGACATAGTTTAACATGAAATATTATTGAATGCACCTCATTATCGGAAAATAATTCCTAAATATTGATGTTCTACAAATTAAACATTAATTTTTTCAATAACTGTCTGGGTCGGAGGGTTTGAACTGTCTAATCTAAACAGAGATATTGAGTAAATATTAAAAACGAACAAAGAACTCAAAAAAAGTATTGTACAAGAAACTATTGCGCAGTGGATGAGTCCAAAGCGACAAAAGTCAAGAACGCCATGTCTTCGCATCTAAACATTTTCGAAATTCCAATTATTTGGTCATTATTCAAAATTCAACAGGAGCTCGAGCTTTCAAGTACGATAACATTTGAAGAAAATTAATATGTAGATTAAGAAAAATAAATGGCTACGATATCCAAACAAAAATAATTCACCTGAGCTTGGATATGGAAACACGTCTTAAAACTTCTGCCCTCTACTGCTTTCCAGTTTTAGAAAAAATTATGGATGAAAAGTGGAGAGTTACATTAAGTTCTACCAAGACGTTGACCTCTTCTGACAATGAGTCAAATTTTAATAACTTATTAAAATACCCCCCTCCTCTCACGCATTCGTTACCTTTGTTCTTATTTAATGACACGGAAAACTCAATGAGCCTTAACAAATGTTCTTAGCTACTAATGTGCTAATTTACATATTTTTTCCAAATAAAAATCTACCTTCAGTTTCCCGTTTTCATAAAACAAGTTTTTTTGAAAAGACCAGGAGTATCAGGTCGCCAACCTATATAAGCCAAAGCATTTCGAAAACCACACTCCATATCCATAAAAATATTCTTGAAAAAATGAAGTGCAGGCTGCAATGTCTGTTGTTCGGTGAGTTTTGAGTTTCAAATCACTCCGTTTTTAATTTCAAAACAAAATTTCCTATTAAATTTCAAGCTTTAATGCTGGGCCGAGCATTCTCCATGATTATGGTAACTACCGGCGGAGTACATGACAAATACAGTGTTAAAATGAAAACAGGAATAGGTGCCGGTGGTGGCGGTGGCGGTAGTGTCGGTACTGCAGCAAATGCTGGTGCAGTAACAGCGAAAACGAGAACTTCATCATCCACAGGTGGTGGTAGTGTTGGTACTGCAGCAAATGCTGGTACAGCAACAGCTAGTACAGCTTCGGGTGCGCCAGATATCGCAGATCTTAACTCAATTCTTGGATCCCTACTAACATCTGCTGGATCATCGGCTGCGGCAGCTGGGTCGACATCAGCTACCACAAGTGTTACACCTAACCCATCGAACCCACAAAGCCCAACGACCTCGTCCCTATTCAACAAATTTGGTGGTTCTTCTAACCCACAAAACCCTACTGCATTTACCTCGTCCTTATTCGATAAATTTGGTGGGGCAGGTGGAGGTGGTTGGCCAATTTTTCAATTGTTTCAACCAAATCCCCCACCGAAAATGGTAAGAACCGTTTACAATACCAATAATAATGCCCGATTCAGTCACGGTCTGCCCCAATTTTACCCGTATGTATATAAGCAATATTATGATCCATATCCTGGTCATTATGTGTTACCATTATTTTAAACCAATTGAAATAAAATGTTAAAAATTAATTTGTCAAAAAATGTATACATCAATAATTTAGCATTTTTACTAGGTTAATTTAAGGAGGAGACGGGATGGATCGATACCTGTCATCTTCACACCAGGTCTTGCGTTAGTAAAAATATTGGAATGTGTGAAATGCATATTCGCACTGCATGAGAGTTATTATTATTCAAAATGTTGACCAGGTAGGTACCAGTTGTGGGGGATGTCCGTTATAGCGGTTCTTTATACCAGACATTGTGTCAGTGAAAATATTAGCATTTGCGAAATTGGAAGGCCATCGGAGTCATATTTCACAAAATGTTGACCGGTTGTGGGGGAGGTACCAGAAGGAGTGGCCCTACCTATCCCATCTATAACCAGATTTTAAGACAATTGGACTTTTATTTCACATTTTATAAGCGTTGAGATTATTTAAAATTTTGACCCTTTGTGAGGAAGATACTAGAAGGATTCGGTCTATATTGTCCATTTTCGCACCTAACCTAGCACGGATACAAATATTATGATTTGCAAAGTTTGAACTAAATCGGTAAATCTTTTTTGTTCTGTGAGGTAAATAATTTTCTGACATTTTGACATTTTGTGACTCGATCTAAGTTTAATAATATAATAATGATGTACCAAATTTGGACCAAATCGGATATTTCCTTCGAGAGTTATCGTGCAACAGCCAGCAGACATACAGACGGACGGACATCGCTAGATCGACGATGATATACAAGGTGAGATAAAAAACTGCAACAAAGTCAAACTCCATTATTTTTACATTTTTTTTTTAATTTTATTGAATGAAAGCAAGAAAATATCGGAAATAGCATCAAATTCTAGAATAAGTTTACATTTGTTCGAATTGGTCACCTTTGACACGAATTATGGCCTTCAAACGGCCAATGAAACCGTCACACGCTGCCCGAGTATTGCACTGCGATATTTTGGTCCATTCCCGGCGAAGCGCTTGCTTGAGCTGATCGACACTTTGGTATTTTTTAGTGCTTTCCGAACTACTCCAGACACAATAGTCCAACGGATTGGTATCCGGAGATTTTGGTGGCCATTGTGCGCTGGAAATTAGGCGAGGAACTTCATTTTGTAACCATTCTTGGGTGGCGCGTGCTGAGTGCGATGGTGCTGAGTCCTGTTAAAATGTTCAAGGTCTTCGGCCAAAATGTTTGCGTGCCCAAGGCTTTAATACACCCTCCAGAATATGTTCGCGATAATATTCGGCATTTATTCTGATGCCACGGTCGGTTAATACGATCGGAGAGCGACCATCGGCTGTTATGGCGGCCCACATCATCACCATGGCCGGCGCCTGAGTTCTGGTGGCCAACCGAAGGTGCACATTTTCAGCTTACCTCTTTGGCAAGTAAACACGTGGCTTTACCACGAGCTCATTGTTCAATATTTGCCGGGTTTCGATCAAGTCGCTTCTTTACTCTTCGAACCATTTCTGCTTATGTTGCTGGTTTCTTCCGTCCACTTCCTTGACGTCGAGCTACGCTACCAGTATCACGGTAACGAGCGATGGTACGAGACACAAAAGATTTATTCACATTTAAATGCTGGAGTTCTCTAACGATAGCCACTTGTGGTTTTCCAGCCAAATATAAAGAAATCACACTATCACGCTTGAATTCCATCACGAATAACTATTTTTCTGGAAAATTCTCACCAAAATGCTCACTGGAATAATTTTAACAGCTGGCGGACGAGTGGCTTAGAAATGACAGCAGTCTGAAGTTGGTTGCAGTTTTTTCATCTCACCCTGCATATGTATTCAGAATCAGTAAACAATTCTAAGTCGATTTAACGATATCCGTCTGTTGAAATCACGATACAGCCTACATTATTTGACGTAGAGCGTCAAAATTTGGCACAACAATTTGATATGTGTCTAGGATAGTTGGTATTGAAAAGGAAATATATCGGTCCACGTTTTCGTACCTCCCGATGTTCGGTATTTTGATTTTTGCCATATTTTCCACTTATTTGTCTAAAAACTGGTAATTGTAGTTCGTAATGGGATCTATCTCATGTGGCGAAAAATAGTATGAATAGCCCCCACATAATGGTACCTCCAGATATTCTGTATTTTGATGACTTTTGCCATATTTTTCCACAGATTTGTCCAATAATTGGTATTTGTAGGTCATAATGAGTTCTAGCTCTGGTGACGAAACTTAGTATGTATAGGTCCACGTTTTCATATAGCCCCCACATAATGGTACCTCCAGATATTCAGTATTTTCATGATTTTTGCCACATATTTCCGCGCATATGTCCAATAATTGGTATTTTTAGCTCATAATGAGTTCTAGCTCCGGTGGCGGAACAAAGTCCACGTTTTGGTGGCCCCCATATAACGGTGCCTCTCCATATTCGGTATTTTGATAATCCTAGTCAAATGTAATTGCTTCAAATTTGGTGTTTAAGTTGATTTGGTAGATGATAATCCTTGAAGTGTAAAATTGTCTCTTGAGGTTCCTGTTTTGGTATGGCCCCAATACCACGGCCTCACCCACTTAACTGATTTTTGAAAAGATTAACAGCGCTATCCAAACGGTCTTACTGGTATTTGTAGTTTAAGGTGGAACAGATTCTTTTATATAAAAATGTTTTTTTTTACCCGAAGGTGGAGGGCATTAAAAGTTCGGCATAGCCGAATTTAATATATTTTTGCTTGTTTGTATATTCGAAAAATATATATTAACAACAACATTTAATTCTAAATAATAAATTATGTACATTTTATATAGTAATAATTAAGCGGCTATTTTTTTGATAATGGATAATAAACTGATAAGGGTGTATCAGCGTAGCCTGGAAGCCCGACTGGAGCGCCATAAAAGACAGCAGGGCTAGATTTCTTTTTGCCTTTTATGAGCGCAGTAATTGCATCTACAAGATCCTGTATTTCTTTTTGTTTTTCCTCGGGAGATTTTGTTGTTGTTGCTGCTGTGCAGGGTGCTGGGGTCGTAGTGGTGGTGGCTGCTGTGGTCGTTGTGGTTGCAGCCGTTGTTGGTGCATAAGTGGTTGGGTGATCGGGGTTTCCGTATCCATAACTGAATTTTTGGTTCTGACCATTTCCACCACCATACATCATCTTATGGAAGAAAAATGTCCTGTCATCGGAATATGGATGTGGTTCCAGATTTTGAAAATATTTTGGCGGAGTAAGTGATTCCACATTTTGAGGATATGTTGGCAGATTGAAGGCCGGGCCTTGAGGGGGAATATAAAATTGTGCAGCTGAAGGTGAGTAACGGTAATTTGGCATATTTCTAGTTTTTGAGCCAACAGCTCCCAGTATTGCCGTCACCAGGGGTATAAGTAGTTCAAGCTCTTTGAGTTTCTCTTTTTCAGATTTTGCAGGTTTTGCGGTTGTCGAGTCTTTACCAGGAGCAGCCGTTGTCGTGGCTAGGGTTGTTGTTGTAAATGGAGTTGTTGTTGTTGTGAATGGAGTTGTGGTTATTGTTGAATAATTTGGAGGTGTACCGTTGCCTTTTTGTCCCAATCCACCGGAATAAAGTTTATTGAAAAAATAACTACGAAGCAGTGCCCCACTTCCGCCTTCCGCATTTTCTTGCAAAGACGCACAACTGGTGGCTAGCAGGGCCAAGGATAACACATTTAGCAATTTTTGAGACAACATGTTCCTAGTTTAGATATCCGCGACTGAATGACCTGTCAACTTGTCCGTCAAGCTTTTATACGCAAATAGATTTGATTAGCAGCCGCCTGGTTTAGACATCATCACTCGGATCATAAAACTAATGAAATTCACTTTCACGAAATTTCCATTTTAAATTATTTACAAAATCACAAAATGTGAAAATGTGAGGAAATGCATTTAAGAATGGATGTTGGAAAACGGGAGTAGCTATCATTGGCACCAATCAAATGATTGCCGAAAAGGGAATGAGTAGTAACGCAGATAATATATAACACACGCGCACTAACACCAGAGCTCATGTGTAGATGCACATAGGTGGGTGCATGGCACAATCAATAGGTACCGGATTCACAGCAGCTGCTCATTTAAATGAGTTGTCAAAACACTTATTGAGATTGGAATCGCAATACGAAAGATAAGCAAAATGTCTGTAAAACGTGAGCAAATTTTGACGTTTCGTCTGACCACAGTATTATTGCATCACGGGTGGAATAAAATATGTCTGTTATTAATGTGCTATAAAATGTAGAGGAAAGAAAGGAAAAGTAATCATACAGGCCTATTGCATGATGACAGCTTGCCCCTTTTTATACCCTCAGCCACATGGCTAAAGAGGGTATATATCATTTGATACGGTCAAAACGTGCCTAGTTGAAATAACGGTTTTATACCCTAGATCTATTTGGACCAATTCCGTTTCAGGACGTTTGGAGTCGATCTAGCAATGTCCGTCCTTCCGTCTGTCTGGCTCGCTGGTGCCTAGGATAACTCTCGAAGGGATTATCCGATTTGGTCCAAACTTGGTACATCGTAATATTTTTGTCAAACTTAGATCGAGTTCGGAGAAGGGCCACTCCAAGGTCCAAAGTCGAAATTTTCAAAAAAAAAACTTTCTGCACAGAAAGGGAAGGGATAATCCGATTTTTCCGAGCTAGGTCAGGTGCGAAAATGGACAATATTGGTCAACTCCGTCAAGTACCTCCCCCACAAAGAGGCAAAAATTGGAAAAATATAACGATTACAAAATATTTTTGTATTTTGTTAAGTCGGGTGTTAAGATGCAATATATCGGTGCAGTCATTCTGGTACCTCCCCCACAAAAAGTCGAAATTTTCAAAAAAAAATATTTTACTGAACAGAAAGAGAAAGGATATCCGATTTTGCTCCAACTTTGCGAATCCTAATATTTGCATCAGTGCTAGGTCAGGTGTGAAAATGTAACGGTCCACTCCATCAAGTACCTTCCCCACAAAAGGTCAAAATTTTGAATAATTTTAACTCTTATAAAATGTGATGTAAGAGTTCGATTGCCTTCAAATTGCACACATGACAATATGTATA